TGAAAAATAAAATCATGGAGTTTTTGCATTGATCGGTTCTGATGGGAAATAGATAGGAAATTTTTCTCCCATTTTGTGACAAAATTCCAGATCATCCAGTTAATGATCATCCAAAAATGTTCGCAGTACCATGATCTGATGGGCCTTTGAATATTTTTCAAAAAATTCTGTTACATGGTGGTCGACATCAGAATACTGAGGGGACAAGACACTGCAAAGTTTTGTGAAGTTATAAATGCCAGCCTTATTCTTGGACAAAATAACTTTGCAGTGATTGCCAACAAAAAGGCCACCGTGGTATGCCTGTCTTTTTATGTCCATTTCCTGTAACATTTGATCAATTTTTTTTTTTTTTCTGTTGGCCCCAGTGTTTTTCAGTTACTGTTCAATGAACGAAATGGTATCAGAGCTGTTTTAAATGAGAATAAGCTGACTGTACACTTTTTTGATGTTTCTCACAACTATTTTCAGCTGCAAATTTGACAGGAAGTCCCTGACATTTGAGACAAGTGTATTCAATCTCAGACATGGCACTTGTCTTCATCCGAAAGACCCTCACACATCATGTGTTGCCACTGAGCACGAGTCACACATAACCCAGTCGTCTCTGTATGAATCATTGTCATATTTTGTAACAAGGCAGATTTCTGCTCCGCATGATTGAAGAATCTCAGAAATTTTTTTTAGAAGGCCGACCTCTTTTCCCGCTCATTGCGTTTTTGGCTAGTTGTTCTAGTTCAAGTGTCACCGATGCCCTGCTTTTATGTTTCTCCACGATTTCAAGACTGAGAATATTTTGTATGTCCAGAAGACGCTTGCAGTACCCCTCATGTTCACTCTGGGCCACCTGTTTTTCTGCAAGCACCCCTTTGTCTCTGTTCAATTTCCAAAATTTTCCTCTCAACTTCTGTGGTAATTCCCAAAGTTTGATCAATGGCTCGCGCATATTTTTCCAAAATCTTAAACTTCGTAACTACCCCGAGAGTCACATGCAAAGTAGGAAGAACAATATTGTCAAAGGACTTTATGGGATAAGCAGCACAGCCAACAACTGACAAATGATCTCTTCCTTTTTTCTTGAGCTTCCTGGCTTGCTGATCATCAACAACATTTTCTGCAATAATTTGGCGCAAGGGAATATTACAGGATTTAGGAGTGTGTGGACTTTTGGGGTGGTTTCGGAGATGATCCAAACTAACCTGGTCATAAATAGAAGGAAAAGATGCAGATGCACCTTGATGTCCCAGAGTTGCATATAGGAATTTGTAATCACCTCCGAAAAGAACAGTGACAGGAAGTCCGCATATATTGAAACTTGAGTCCTGCATGCGTTGAAAATCTTCCCCAAAATTTGCCATGTCCTTCATTTGGTTTTAATGTGTATTCTCAGCTGCAAACAAAGAATATATTTTACATGAAAATGCTGACCCACTAATTTTTGGAGAACGGACAGAGAAATGAAATTTCATGCTCTTGTCTCCTTTGTCACCCGAAAAAAGGATAAAAACTTTGTCTGCTTGACCGAAACAGTCACTGTCTTTTTGCAGCATGCTCTGAATGGTTTGAGTCATATATTCAAGCAGATTCTTCACCTGGGACACTGGCACCTCCACAAGTTTTCTTTCATCATCACACTTATTTTTTGTGTCCATTACTACAATTTTGGTTTCAAGTTCACTTTCAGGGCAAACAAGAGTTTTCTCATGAGAACGCATGGATAATTCTGAAGGAAAAATTGTAATTCCATAGGCTGCCAGGGTGGTTTTCAGACGTCTCAAAGTTGCCCAAGGAAAATCAAGACAAAGTCTAAGGTTTATCACCTGAACAACTGTTAAATGTGACCAGATTTTAGATTTGAGGCATTCAGCTACAGAATTTTGGAAAACATCATTTTTGTGTTTGTTGAATGTGGTGTCCAAAAAAGCAAACCAATTTCTTGTTAAAAAAAAAAAAAAAAAAAAAAGTTTCTTCGTCAGTGTCTTTTTCATCAACGCCAGAAATTAATGCCGAGACAATATGCAACATCTTAGCTCGGAGATGCAAATTCTTAGATGTTATTTTAGAATTAGTTTTCCGTGCAACAGGTAAAGAAATAAAAAAAATTCTGTCCTTATGGCTTTCATCCCAAAAAAATAGATCTGGAATAGCCATCCACTGGGGAAAACTGATTTTTTGGGATCAAAACTAAATTGCTGGTTTGGACCTTCTTGGACTCAAATCATTGTTGCATTCAAATCCTCAATACCTTCCATATCATCAACATTTTTTGAGGCAGAAATTTTCTCGATTGAATCCTGAAGCATTTTCGATTTTTTTTTTTTTTTTTTTTTTTTTTTTTTTTTTTCTGAAGGGCCTGAGTTGTCCGTTGTTTTGCCGATAATTGAGCAGAATATTTTCTCTTGAGGCTCTTATTTTCAGCTTTAAGATTGGCAATCACCTTCTCATAATCAAAAAGAGACTGCTGTAAAGAAAGATTTCGGCTCTTCAAAATTTTTTTGCCGGGGCTTTTATAATTTGGCTGGCTTGGTCTCAATGGAGTCGATGTGGAAACTGAAGAAAAATCAGCCATGCTTTTAGCTGAGGATGAAATAGAACAGAAGAAGAACCTGTAAAAGATTGGAAAACTTTTAAGATATTAAATTTCCCACCACAGAAGACAATTTTCTTAGCAGCAGTCTTGGCATATTTCCTGAATCCAACAACATGATTTGAGCCCGTTGAAATTTGCCTTGACTGTGTCAGGAACTCCGTACAAACGACGCAAAACAGCTACAAGAGATTCCTCATCCAAAAATTTTGCCCGCAATGACCATACAATTTGGTTGGTAATTAATGCCGCATTGGCTACAGAGGTTATGGAAAAATCATCAAAATAACCATGGGGAAAGTCCAAGGAAGCAATAATATCCTCTATGGTTAACATAGTTGCAAAATATCACGCACACTGTCTTATTTCAGCAACAACCTTATGCTTTCTTGTAATTTTCAAATATATATAAGGGTTAAAAGAAATTTGACACAAGTTCATACACCCAAATAGCAGCTCAGCATAAGGAAGGGTTCATCAAAAGCCAAATTCTCTTTGGACAAAGCAATAAAAAAACAATATAAACTGTCAACATCATTTAGCTGGCAGAGATAAACCCCATCCACTTAACAAGTATGTGATGACCATTTTTAGGGCTTGCCGTGGCTTGTGTTTTTCATCACTGTGAGAAAGTCCAGATTGTTTGGTATCAATTAAAGGTGTGAAAAAAAAAAAAAAAAAAAAAAAAAGTGGCCCCTTGAGACCCTGCTTGATGTGGAGGATTAACATTTGTGATGAGAAAGTCCAGACTTTTGTTACGATTTTTCAAGTCTGGTGCTTGAATGTGTGTTGAACTGTTAGTGAAAAAAATTAAATAAGTGAACTTTTTTTTTTTTTTTTTTTTTTTTCCCAGATTTATTCTAAAAAATGAATTAATAAATAACTGAACTGCATTTTATTTCGAGGGTCACCAGCCCGGGTGACAAAAACACTAGCAGACGACACTTACTTTTTTTTTTTTTTCTATATACCTTTCATATTTCCCATCGCCAGGTCATATAATAGTTCATTTTATTCAATGATATTTACACCAATGTAAAGCCAAAGGATTGAGGTTTGAAAAAAAGTTGTTTTGAAGTGAAAATATTTCTTAAATAAGAAAAAGTGGTTTTTCATACAAAATTGGGCATAATTTTTTAATGCTAACCCCCGAGTGACATTTTTCACAGCCAAATTGAAGATTTATTACCAGTCAATAATTCCATGTGTAAAAATTAGCCGTCTGGATCCTATAATGTTGACAGAAAAGGTCCAGAAGTTTACTGATTGATCAAAACCTGTTGCGCATAATTGTGTTTTTCATGGTCAGTTTCCATTATTTCATCTTGATGTTGTCATTTTCAGACATCCAAGTCATCAAGGATTCAGGAAAACAGTTTGGTGCAGTTTACTTTAAGAACTTTACATTCTATGAGGTGTTTAAAATGTTACTGATGAATGGCATTTTTCACTGAATATTTCATTTATGTGCCATATTGGATTTTCCTATATGACAAAAACAAGTGTTTTAAACAGCTGTGAGATATATATATATATATATATATATATATATATATATGAGAGAGAAAGAAACCTTTTTTTCTTATGACTTTTTTTTTTTTTTTTTGTTTTTGTCCGGATTTCTAGTCAAAATTCCTTATATTACTTTGATTCATGATTGACTTGGCAGAAGAATTCTTGTAGTAGGATGCTGTTACTTTCTGCAGTAGACTGGTTGCCAGCCAAGGCTGTAGGGCCCAGTCTGTCCTGTTATTGTCTACCCAAACATGTGTTTATATAATTATATATTCTTAGAATGATTTAGAAGTCTTTTTACAGTGTACTCTCATTATGCCCCCCCATAAATTTGGCAAATCATAATTTGGATTGTCAGCCCCTTTCATTTCATTAGGGATATTTTTTAGTGCAGTCAGTAGATATTTTGAGGATTTGTAAAAGGAATTAAATTTACTGTGGCTATTAACAAAAAAAAAAAAAAAAAAAAACTCTGAATACATACCACTTTTTTGTGTGTGTGTGTTTTTTTTTTTTTTTTCTTCTTCTTCTCTCCTTGTCCTCTCTTTTGGAATCTTTTTCCCAGTCTTGTATAACCAATGAACGTCATTGTTTGATTTTTAACCCAAATGCTTTTTTACTCTTTTTCCTGCTGTTACTGAGAGTGAATCACTATTTTTATGACGCTTCTTTTTCTTCGGACATTGCCAAAATGTCAGTTTTCTTTTGTTTTTTGTTGTTTTTTTTTTTTTAATTTGTAAAAGGAAGTTTATAACAAATGTCAGAGATAATGTTTGAATCAGGAAACAAATTCAATTTGGGAATAAACCATAAGATGCTTTATTATTATGATGATGCATGACTTTCTTATTTGAGGACCAAATATATTTATTTCTTTTTTCCTTTTAAATAATTTTAGGTATTTGTGTGATAAAGTTGTTCCAGGAAACAGAGTATCTGTAATTGGAATCTTTTCTATCAAGAAATCTGGACCATCCTCAAGGGTGAGTAAATAAATTGATTGGTTTATTTTGACTTGCTTAGTGCCATATCTTTTTGGAGTTTGTCTAACATATGTAATGTGTATAATTGTATTTAAAATATTTTTAAAAGTGAAGTGATGTTATTTTCAGAAAAATGCACGTGATAAAGTGAATGTTGGAATTCGTGCCCCTTATTTTCGTGTGTTGGGCATTGATATGGATGGAAGTGGTCAGACATCTAGCATTCAGCTGACCCCAGCAGAAGAGGAGGAATTCATTCAATTGGCTGCCCATCCCAATTTATATGAAACTATTGCAAAGAGCATTGCGCCATCCATTTGGGGTAGTGTGGACGTAAAAAAGGCTATTGCATGCCTTTTGTTTGGTGGGTCACGCAAACGGTATGGCATTGCTTTTTACCTTTTTTGCCTTTCTTTCCTTATAATTAAAATGGTTTTAACACTGATTTCTGATTTTTTTGTAAGGATAGGGGTTGATATTGATTGGAAATCCTGTAAAAATTAAAGTCTAGTTATATATATTGAAGAAGAAAAATTTTTTTGTCTGCTTCAGTATGAATTTTAAAATTGGAATATTTTAAAATTCATACTGAAGTATAGAAATATTTTTTTTTTTTTTTTTTATGAAAAAATAAAAAGATACTCTTTAAAAATATAAAGTTGAACTAGCTGTCAAAGTTTTTATTTACATGTATAAGGTGATCTTTAGATAAGGTGAGGTCAAAAACAGCAAACTTTTATAAATTTATCCTAAGCCTGTAGTAAGATGACTTATTAATTTGTATCCTTACAAATTCAAGATAACAAAACTGATTTTATATCATGTTTTCCTACACACTGCAAAGGGAAGCCATTGATTTGTTTGTTTCATCAATTATTCTCTTGCAAATAATGATTCTTCCTCTTTTCCTATATCTAAACAATTACAAACAGCCTGGTGTATTAATGGCCATTTACTTATACTTCATCGACAATCACAAAAGATATAACCGTACAATAACGGTTGCTGTAAATGCAATCATAACTGTTTGCATTTTCTCAACTGAACTTGCATGGATACAAGTTGATTTCATTGATATGCAATTATTCTTCAATTAGGCAATTTATTATGAAGTTATGCCAATATTTTTATATATATATATATATGTGGTAGAAATGGTTTTATCAGTTTATTTGATAATGTGAATCTTTTCTTGTATGTGGCTATACACTGAGGGTGGGGATAGCCTACTAACAAACACCACTCAGATTTTTTTTTTTTTTAAAATATAGGATGAGCCCCCCTTTTTAATGGTGATTTTTAACAGTTGTCGTGTATGCAGAAATATGGTATGATGTTTGCTTCTTTTGTTTTTTTTATTTATGCCAAGTATGGAAGCTCATAAGTATTAACACAGGTCAAAGTCCATTAACTTTGTAAAAGGTGTATTCATAATGACATCATTTACATTGAACTCTTTCATTGCTGCATTGTGCTGGCTTGGTTTGGAGAAGAGCATAAATTGTCATTTACTTGAAATTAATGGCTGTAAAGACACTAATGCTGATTTCTCATTGGTGCAGCCATTTCAGGTTCATTTGGATTCTCTGCAGTACAGATGAAGCTAAACCAACTTGCAATAATATATATATATATATATATATATATATAATATTTTTTGTTTAAAAATATGATCCCTTTGCTTACATAAGAGTTCTCATGTTTCAAAAACGAGAGCCGAAACCATCCAAATACTTATTAAAATAAGTTGAATTGAGGTGTTTAGTCCCGTTTCATCTTCAAGCGAAATTTTAGGAATAAGCTATCTCTCGGTTTACGTGTGTTTTTAGGCACGGTCCGTTACAAAATTTGTTATTGTGGGAGTGGCTAGACTATTTTTCTTAAGTGGTCAGTTAATTCCTATCAATAGATTCGTCATCTTCAGAGAGGTTTTGCTAAGGTTGGGTAGGGGTATCTATTTCAAGGCTAATGTTTGGGGTCACCCTTAGTTGGTTCCCAGTGAGGGATATTTTTATGGCAGCCTACAAGTCATTATGTGTCTGGAGAATTGTCTTTTATTATTGTCCATCTGATTATCTATTTATTTATTTGTTTATTCAAGTGGGTGTTTTATATACAAATCGTATTGCACTGAATTTCAATTTGTTTTTTTAGTTTTTTGACGACTACAAAAAGGGTTTTTCCTATTTAATGATTTGGCTAAGCTTTTAAGACTTATTTAGCTATGGGTTTTTTTTTTGGGGGGGGTGATTATTCAATGCGAAAGTTTGATGTTGGCAAAAAACCGTTGACTCCTGCCTATGGTTTAATAATTTTTCATTATACTTGCATACACACACACACACACCCCGTTTTTATTCTTGTGTTATTTTTATTGTTTTAGATTACCTAAATAGTCAAAAACCCTGATTATGTGTTGAAACTTGAATGTTATTGAAATGTCATACTTTTATGTTAATGTATTTATCTTGTAGCTTACCCGATGGTTTGACACGGAGAGGGGATGTTAATCTGCTTATGTTAGGAGATCCTGGAACAGCTAAAAGTCAGCTTCTAAAATTTGTTGAACAAGTCTCGCCCATTGGAGTAAGTTTTTTTTTTTTTTTTTTTTTTTTTTTTTTAATGTTGCTTTTATTAGGATCTCTTTGAGAAAAGGAAATCTATATTTTATTTAATGAAGAGGATGAAAGTGGTTGTAATTGATTTAATAAAGTATTAATATATAGTTTAAGATTTGTTGATAATCTGGAAAAAAGACAATTTTTAAAAAATATTATCTTAGGTGTTCACTTTTACACACATACACACACTATTTATTTTATTATAAGAGATTATAATAGTAGTTGAAATCACTACACAAAAGCTTTCATGTTTCAATACTTTGTAATTCTTTAGGTGATGGTAAGTAACTGATTAAATGATTTCTAAGAAAATTCAAAAATAGTGTTACCTGTTTTCTGAGTCAAAAGTAGGGTGGTGGTGGTGTTGGGGGGGACATAAGGTCAGAATTAAAAATAGACTTGTGGATATGTCTTAATCAGAGGGTGGAGGTGGGTGAGTTATTTTTTCATGCTATGATAAACCTGAACATAGACTGTCCATCATTGACAGATGTATCATGATTGTAGACAAATATGACTCTTTCAATTTTTTGAAGGGGACGAGTAGGTTAATCAGATGTAAAGTTTTTATTTTTTTTTTTTTAATAAGATTCATGAAGCTTCTTAAAGGGCCAATAGATAAAAGTTAAAAATGTGGAATATCTATAGTCTTCTTGGCTATTCTACTAATGTTGTTTGTTTGCATTTACACTAAGGAACGGGACTTTTAAAAAAGTTATGAATGTAAGGAGAATAATGAAAATTATCAATAAATAATTTTTTATTTCATAAAAATACTTATCCAGGAAAAAAATTCAGGCATGTGTTGTATATATGAACCCTTAAAGGGCCAATAGATAAAAGTTAAAAATGTGGAATATCTATATAGGTTAATAATACTAATTATATGGCAAAGCTGAATAAACAAAATAAGGTAATTACCCAGAAGGTGGACCATTATATGCTAATAGATTATGACTATAAGAAATAGTAATATATAATTTTTAACTTTTTTTTTTTTTTTTTTTTTTTTTTTTTAAAGTATTTTCCATTTTACTATTGGTTTTATTAGCTTCTTTTAAGTTTCAAAAATAATTAAAGGCACGTACTATTTCTGTACATGTTATTGGGGAAAGATAATACATGTTGGTACCACCTAGTTTTAAAGGAATTCTTGGTATTTTAACTGTTGGATTTTCTATAGCAGAAATACTACTTAGGTAAACAAGAGTCTGACATCTGTTTTGCAATGGACATTCATTAGAATTTCTACAATTGCACTTGTTGGTATTATAGGCATGTTACTTTGTAATGGCAATTATTACTTACCAAATGATTTTCTGTTTCTATTTTTATTCCTGCAATCACTTGTGTTTTATATATTTGATGTCAGGGCACTTATAGTGGTTATTTTTTTAAGGCAGTGTTATAAACTTTACTATGCTTGCAAAAGACATCTTCACTGGAAGAGTTATTGCTAATCATATATTCTATGGAGGTGTTTGGTTAGAATTTGGGTGGATATATATTGGATTGGCATTTGTTTTCATGTAGGGTTGGAATACATTAACAAGGTCTAATCAAGAAAATCTGTTTTTTTTTTTAAATTAGTGTTGATCTTAACTTTTTAAGGTTGAGACTTTTAAATTCTCTATATATTAATTTCTTGATTTTGTCAGTTTTAATTTTTGTGGAAATTTTCACCACCATAAGGCCATCAAATCTATATTATCAGTGTTGATATCTTGGTGGGCACTGATATAAATAAACCAACAAGGTTGGAAGACTCAGCAGATTCCATGGAAATATCAAATTAGTCAACAGTTGTTCTTAATCGACTGCTCTTCTACAGTTCATGATAATGTCAAGTTCCTTGTTGGAAAGATCAGAGTAATCCCTGGAAAATTCCAAAGCCAAAGTAAAAAGATCCCTGGAAATAGATGGGTAATAATCCACAATATCAAACTGGATAAATGAACAATTCCTTTTATTGTTTATACATTATAAGATTAGTTAGTCTAAAAATACAAATAAAAATAGTTAACTAGAAATATGACAAGGGCAGCCAGAGGCTTGAACATAAAACTAAGAACATTTGTCTAAATGAGTAAAGAAATGTAGTGAATAATTTGTTTAAAGTCTGCTACAGAAATACATTTCAATGTTGTTGTGATTTTGGAAATGGAAGTGAGAAGGTTACATTTTGCAACAGCAGATGTAGACTGGACACATGTTGAAAGGATTCTACATGGAGAAATATAAACGTATGAAATATGGCTACTTTAAACAAATGCTCAAATAATAACATGTAAATAGACAAATGTAGAGAGAAGTTATCAAAAGTTACAAACTGATGATGTCTAACTTTGGGTGAGAGATCATTTGATAAAACTACTGACCAGGTACTCGGTGTCATGCTTTTATTGTGAGGGGAGGGTTCCCTTAATATACTAAGGTCTAAATGGAAGTGGTCACTGTTTTGACCAATATAAAAAGTATCTAAACTAAGAAATATACAAAGGTAGGGGAGGTAAAACAATACACTTTCTGTACTGTATTAACAGAACAACTGTTTTGTAGAAAGTACCAACAGTGCTCTGTCTTATTTCTGAAAACCAAATTCCTCCATTTTAAGAGGAAGAAACAGCTAATCACTTTTTCTTTCTCACAGAACTGTATTCCCCACAGTTTTCTTTCATTCAATTCTTCCATGTTTTGTCCTTGAGCATAGAACTGCTGAGAAGATGTTATACAGAAACGGAGGTCTTCTAGGCTATTCTACTAATGTTGTTTGTTTGCATTTACACTAAGGAATGGGACTTTTAAAAAAGTTATGAATGTAAGGAGAATAATGAAATTTATCAATAATTAATTTTTTATTTCATAAAAATACTTATCCAGGAAAAAAATTCAGGCATGTGTTGTATATATGAACCCTTTGCTTCTTGTATGTATGTAATTGCTAGAATTAATATTTCCTCAATTGGTTCTTAAGGGATCCAATGGTAGAGCAATAATTCATTATTATAGGATATTACATTCAAACATAGGTAAAACCACTACATACGTGCATTCGTGTTCGATGCATATCATCACATCTCATCAGGCAATGGTAAATGAGGATTATTACAATTTTTAATATTTATTTACATACAATCTCTTTTCCTGCAAAAAAGAAAGAAAATAAAAGCAAGAAAGAAACACAAAATATAGTCGAAAGAAGAGAAAAGACAGACAAGATGTATCTTCAAAAAGAAAAACAAAGAATGTAAATCAGAGCAAGAAGGAAAGAAAGACACAAGATATTTTCTCTTCTCCAAAGAAAAAGATAAATATAAGGATAATGTAGAAATGTAAAGAAGTTAGACAAGATATGTTGATAATGAGTTCAACCAATCAAAAATAATCAGTTAAGATGCCATAAGACATAGACTCAAAATTCAATGGATACACATTGTCTATTGGAAAGAAAATTATGATACAGTGTGATGACCTACAAACAACTGACATTTTTTGCTGGCTTTTTTTTTTTTCATGGGGAATTTAAGAGTTTAGATCTTAACTTGAAAATAAGTACTAATATCAAACAAGTTGATTTTCTAGATTAACATTAAATTTAGTCTATGAAAATTTTCAGCCTTTTATGAAGAACAATGCCAACCCAAACTATATCCATCATAATTCCAATCATCCACTGTCTGTAATCCAACATCATCTTTCCTTTTGTAGAACATCTAATTAACTGACACTTTTTTAACAAAGAGGTTGAGAAACATAGAATTGTGTATAATAAAGTCCTTATGGATAGTGGCTATAAGTCCAGTGAAATTCAATTTAAAGAATATGATAGTTGTTCTAAGAAAAATAGAAACAGGAAGATCATCTGGTAGACATCTTCAGTATGTATCTGAATTTTGAATCTATGGCTCATGACATCTTAAACTATTTTGATTGGCTGAACCCATTATCAACATATCTTGTCTACCTTTACATTTCTATATGATTGAAACAGGAATGCATTTATGTAGCAGTTTACATATGTTTAAATATAATATCCTATAATAAAGATTGTGTATGTGTAAAATATATGTGTGTGTTTAGGTTGAATAATCTAGACATATTATCTCTATTTTTGTTTTAATCCTCTCAAATTCACGGATCAATTTCTTAGTGTTGGTACAAAATTAATGTTTATGATGTCATTATCTGCCAGTATAAACATTAGCATGAGGAAAAATTTCTGTATAAAAAGGCCTATTTATCAAAGTATAACTACATATTTCCATGCTATAGTATAGAGTTGGGGTACATTGGTTGGTAATTTAGTGACTGATTTTAATAACTATTACAAAATCTTTAACATTGAATCAATGTTGAATTTGGTATGTTGTTTTTTTTCTTTCTTCTAACTGGTTCAGTTTCTATCATTGTCACCATTGTCATTGATTAAAAACAATAGGATGTGCATGTAGTGTAATGGAAAGTGATCTCTGCAAGACTTGTTTAAGTTTTGGACTAGTCTGTTGCACATTTGCTTTGGAAAGGCATGAACCTTTTTTTTTTTTTTTTTTTGAAGTTTTGCATTAAATAGAATAGACTACTTTCTACTTTTGGTGGAAACCAGGTTACGAGCAGGAAAACTGAATTTGAAAGTATGCAGAAGGCTACAAAAGACTGCTTCTTTCAATTTTCCAAGAGTAAATGGCTGTTCATATAAATCTGTAGTCATGATCTACATTCTGAAAAATGAATCTTTATGTTGAAGTGTAGCTTGCATAAAACACTTTCAGTCGTACTTAGGACAAAATTAAACAGGGTGTTAATTAAAATGATTTTTTGCTTTTTAAATTAATTTTTACTGATATTTCTGATTATATAAATTTGCAATATTTAAAGATTGATCATGTATTGTGATTAGTTGTAACTTCAGTAAACTTTGTAGACATTTTCTAGAGCAGAATTCAATGGTTTGGCTTTTGTATAATTGACCCTCTCTCTTTTTTTTTTTTTTAAGCTGTTTTTGTAGTGCATAAGTTTTTATAGCAATTAAGTGTAAATGAAACTCCAGACTCTTGATTTCCTTTCATTTTAGGTTTATACTTCAGGCAAAGGCAGTAGTGCTGCTGGATTAACAGCATCTGTCATTAGAGATCCTCAATCAGTAAGTAAATTATGTCTTTGATCTTTTAAGTTTTGAAAATTAATATTATACAATAATAATTTAGAAATTTAATTTTATCAGAAATTCATCTAAATTTCAAAGATGATAATCATTTAAAACTTATTCAAGATTTAATTTTACATGTAATCTTTTTTTTTTTTTTTAACTTTTTATGTACTCTTAATGTATTGCTTATATTAAGGGTGATTAATGTCTTATGAAATGCATCTATTTTTTAGCGTGGATTTATAATGGAAGGAGGTGCTATGGTGCTAGCTGATGGTGGAGTGGTATGCATTGATGAATTTGATAAAATGCGAGAAGATGACAGGGTAGCCATTCATGAAGCCATGGAACAACAAACCATTTCCATTGCCAAAGTATGGATGAAAATTTTCATTTACCAAATTTTTTTTTTTTCTCTCAAGCTGAAATTTTTTGGTAGCAATTTTTTGATAATTGATTCTTTTTAGGATATTAATTTATCAAGCTGTTTAAGAGACGTAACTCATTATTTACTAAACTGATATTTTGCTTAAAGCTATATGTAAATATTGTTAATTTCTATGCAGTGAATGTTTTGAATGAAAATCAATTCTTTGATAATCTATATAAAGGAATCAAGTGTACTAACCTTTTGTTAATTTATTTTAGGGAAATGACAATTCTTGTTTCCTCTCTTCATATAATTACAATAATAATTATTTTGTTTATCTGACTAAACACTTCTCTTGGTAGCTATTTTGTAGTTAATGTTTCTGTTGTATTTATAACTTGTATAACTTGTATAACTTTATAACTTTGTATTTATAGCAATAAAATTCTAATAAACATTGATTGTTTAAGTTATGCTTTGCTTTTCATTGGACTTTTTTCTTCATTTGAAAGTAAATCTTTTACTCTTAAATTGCACTGCTTTTTTTTAAGCATTCTGATGCACATATAAAAAACAATTTTATGTATAAAGCAAGAAATTCTTTTAAAAATTATTGAAAGATCACTTTGATTTCAATTATAAAAGTAGAAATAATGTAGTTGAGAATTTTTATTAAACTTTGTTAGTTTATATCTCTTGTCTGGCTAAAGAAAGAAATAGTTGTTTAAAATGTCAAACAATCATGTATCCACATGCCTATACTTTTTAACCTTTTAATTGGTATCACTCCATGCAAGGCAGTAAAGCCACTAAGACCCAGAGTGTGGAAAAATTAGGAACAGACTCATTAATAATGAGTAGGATAGAGAAAGAGCAGGAGGACAGTAAATAGTGATTTTAATTTTTCTTATAAATAAATAAAATTAAAGTACTAGATGTGTTCAAAATAAATGATTTGTATTCACATGCTGTAATTATTAATTTTAACTGATCTTTGATATTTATTTTTTTTTAATTTTTTAAAATTTTTTTGTTTCCAGGCTGGAATTACAACTACATTGAATTCTCGTTGTTCTGTTCTTGCTGCTGCCAATAGTGTGTTTGGTCGATGGGATGATACCAAAGGCGAAGAGAACATTGATTTTATGCCAACCATTTTGTCCAGGTTTGACATGATCTTCATCATCAAGGATGAACATGATGAAAATAGAGATGTTGTGAGTTTATTTTTTATTTATTTAAAAGTTGAAGAAATTAGGAGTTTGCACATGTCACTCTTGGACACCCGTGTGGTGTATTTGGGCATAACAGCAAGGGAGGGCTGGTACCAAAATCCAAGATAATAACCATAGTAGTTATGAAGAAATTTCATAATACCACTACCCTATCTGGAAATGTTATTTCTGTACACTTCTATTTAAATGGAGCTTTTTTTTTTTTTTTTTTTTTAACCTCCACCTCTTGGTTGTATTCTCCAGTCCAATAAGCTTGTTTTTATGGTGATGAATCATTGGACAACTCTTTAAGTAGGTATACCAAACTGTTTTTTTTCCCCTTCAATATACCAAAATACTTTTTATATAGGCATAGAGATTGTTGCAAAACATAAAAAAAGGACCAAATTTATCTTTGTATTTCAATTAATGGCCATTCAAAGTTCATTTGGAAATTGTTTAGTGGAAAAAAAGAAAGGAAAAAACACCAGTGAAAACTATTCAAATAAACTTTAGAATTTTTATTGAATGGTGAATTTTATTGAATGAAGCCAAACTATTGCAATAAATGTGATATACTGTTCATATCTTTTTTCTTTTTTTTCCTTTCATTTAGACTTTAGCAAAACACGTGATGAATGTTCATTTGAATTCTTTACAACAAACTGAGAAACAGGAAGGAGAATTGAGTCTAGAAACTTTGAAAAAATATATTTCATATTGTCGATCGTAAGTAAAGTTATTTTTGTTAGTGTCCAATTCTTTCTAATGTTGAAACCAATTAAAGTTTCTTCCAATATGTTTGGGAAATAATTTAGTAATGTAACCATGTTTGATAGAATGTGAATGCAATATTAAGACTTAAAAATGTTTCTTGTCAAATATAACTTTTTTTTTTTTTTTTTTTTTTTATATAGTTGTTAAGCAATTCTACCATGGTGTTTAGGTCTTGTGCAATATTGGAAACACTAAATAGATTCAAGAAAAGTAATTTTGTTTAAACTGAAACATTTTGGTGAATTGGAACCATTTTATCAAATTAAACTGCAACATTTATTCAAATTTATTACAGAAAATGTAGAACATTAAAAAAAAAAATAGATGATTAAGTGTATTTGTAGAAATGCAAATGTTTTTAAAATTGAGGAAAACTACTGAATGCCAATGAAATAAATTGTTTAAAAGACTTTTTACAATTTTTAAAAAAATGTTCATTCAGTAGAACCACTTCTGGTAGAGGGTTACTTATTGAGTTGTGTAATATGAATGTAGGAGGAGGAGGAGGATAGATAATGATTGAGCCTTGGATTGAAGGTATTGAAATTGAGGTATTCAGGGAAGCAAACATGAATGACTTTGTTCCACAAAGTAAGTGGGGGGTGGGATAAGTGGAACTTCCTCCTCTTTCCTAATGGAATACAGAGGAAATGTGGGTCATTCAACTCCATGGATGTAGCATGGAGAGCCCTAGCTGTAAAGGTCTGAACATATATACCATGGGAAAAGCAATAGATATCATTAGGATTATGTCAGTGGGAAAAGAGACTGTAGTAAAAAATAAGTCATTCCTCCCTCTATAAGACTACATAAATGTGTTTTTTTTTTTTGTTTTTTTTTAGCTTTGTTTTGTGTCCATTTAGATTTGATTATTTTACATTGTAGAACAAAATATGAAACCAAACCAGGTAGATGCATTTCCCTGGCACTGATTTCTCGTAATCAGTAGGATTAAGATAATTAAGATGAGGAAATAAAGCAAAGTTTTTATTGTATTTGTCAGTGATCCAATTTGGATTCATAATTATCTTAAATATAATAATTAAATAAAAAAAAAGTTATTAAAATAATTTTACTTTTTAATTCAGAAAATGTGGTCCCAGGATTTCTTCATCTGCTGCTGAGAAGTTAAGTGGGCGATATGTTATGATGAGAAATAGTGCCAGTGAATATGAAAGAGAGACTGGCAAGAAAATTGGTATACCAATTACTGTACGGTAAGTGTTGGTAGTGATTTTGTTGCAATTGTTTTGCTATTAATAAATAAATCTAAGTTTCAAGAAAAATTATAAAACTTAGTCACCCAGAATATTGTCTTCCCAGAAGCCAGGAAACTTGTGAAAACTTCTTTCATCCCACGACCCAAATGAAAATGGAGTAAATACTGAAATAAAAGGTAAAATAGAAGAATTATTAAACATAATAAATGAACTACAAAATCTAATCATAATCCTAAAAAGTAATCAACCCAAAATAAAAAAAAAAAATCCTGTTAACAAACCAAACACCCCAACTGCATCTGTCTATATTTCAACAACTACAAAAAAAAAAATTACAGTTACAAAAAGCAGACACAGATCAATTTCGAGAACAAAGGAAAAAAAAAAAAATCAAAAGCCAATTCAAACAGAAATTAAGAATATAAAGCAAATGGAAATTAAAATGGAGTAAACACTCACTATTTAAAATATGAAAATAAAACATCCAAATCTTCCAAATAAAATCTATGCTACACAAAATAATACAGTGGAATATTAGAGGAATCAAATCCAATTTAGAAGACGTCCAGTACCTCATAAATGAATACAGCCCAAGTATTATGTCTCCAGGAAATCTTTCTTAAACTCAACATAACACACTACATGCAATACCACTATACCCACGACTCTAACCAAAATGCCTCTGGGGCTATGCCAATATACATCAAGAATGATATACCCCAAAGCAAAATCAGCCTGCAAACTAGCCTTCAAGTAACAGCTGTTAACGCTACTCTACACAAAACAGTATTTGTACTATATACACAACACCACACGATACTATCAATGAAATCAAAATAAACTAATACCACAACTGCCAAAACTATTCCTGATATCAGGCAATTTAAGCAGCCGCATGATATGGGGCGATAAAAACACAAAAAAAAAAAAGAAAACGAATTTAAAACATAGTTACCTCCTTAACAACAGCAACATAATATACCTCCGCCCAGCGACAGGCACATTCATTGCCATAGATATAGCTCTGGGTGACCCCACTTCATTCATGGACTTCAACTGGCAAGTCCACCCTGACCCTTATGGCAGCAACCACTTTCCAGTCATCTTTGAAGACAACTTAAATGTCTCGGAACAAAAAAATGTCTAAATGGATAGTCAGCCAAACAAACTGAACCAAATTTAAAACTATGTAACAAGGAACTCGCGTAAAATAACGTGGAGAAGAGCTCCATGGAACATTTCACAGAAACCTTAATATCAATTGTTGAAAAATGTGTACCTAAAAGCTCTGAATCGACCAAACACAATACTGGTTTAATGAAGATTGCAAAAAAAATAAGACTACAAAAAGCAACTTTCATAAAATTTGAAATCAACCCAATCCAAGAGAATCTAAACCAATTCAAAATAAATAGAGCAAGACCACACGAAACATTAAAGAAGCAAAAAGAAAATACTTCCAAAACTATGTAAGCAAACTGAACTCAAATCCAAAATCAAAAAAAATAATAGGGGTTGGTAGACCCACCCTCCACAAACAACAATCTCTTAACAACAAAAATTGAGATTGCAAATCTGTTAGCTGAAATCTTCTCTAAAAACTCACCTGAACAAAATTTCAATAATGAATTCTTAAAGATAAAATAAAATTAAACTTCAACTTGGAAACTATGAAAGCTACAACTCTTCACTCTCATTGAATTCAAAAACATAAATTCAGCTACTGGATCGGATAAAATATCCTATGAATTTCTAAAACAAATCTCAGAAATACCTTTTAAACATCTTCAAGCACATATGGGCAAACAATGAAATCCCAGATAGCTGGAAACAAGCTATAATAATATTCATACCTAAACCTGGAAAACTCCAGACCCATAGCACTTATCAGCTGCTTGGGCAAAACATTTGGAAGAATCCTGAGCTAATGATTAAACTGGTATTTTGAATCCAACAACATCCTGACCAATATCCAAAGTGGTTTCAGAAGGCAAGAGTACATTGGAGAATTTGGTGTGACTTAGACAAGTTTCAGGAGAAAGAAATGGTGAAAACAATTCCAAGTTCAGAAAATTTATCAAGCAAGAATAGTTGGCCATTAAATCATAAGAATACTGACGAGACACTTTCGCGTCTAGCCAAAGATATTCAATTTTTCCTTTTTACTGATTTTTCTTTCGAAACGAGATTTCTAACTAGACAATCAAATAGGTTACAATGATTAGGACAAAATGTGTTAATATATCCAATTACTTCACATTATCACAAATACAGAATGGGGATCCGATAAACCAATTTTACTAAAATTATACCAAACTCTAATTCGCTCTAAATTAGACTATGGATGCTTCATTTATAGGGTTGCTAAGAAGAATTACCTAAAGAAACTAAATACCACAGACTACCAGGAACTGTATTTTGCCTTGGGTGCCTAAAGCACTACTCCAATTGAAAGTCTCTACATCAAAAACCGGAACAACCCACTAATCACCAAACTCCTGAATAGACTTAAACCAATACTCATTCCAAAAAAAACAAACCTCCAACTGTGTTGAATCCCTAGCCATATTAGAGTGCTTGGGAATAAAACGGCTGATAAGGCAGCCATAACAATCTCAAAAATCCCCATTACACACTTGAAAGCCACAATTAGCTCTTACATCCTCAACCAATGACAAAAATCATGAAATATATGCACAAACTATATCAAGTAAAACCCATTTTGACTGTACAACATCACAGTACTAGACATTTAAGAAAAGATGTCACCCAAGAAACCACTCCTTCCTCCTAAAAAGAAATGAAGATCCTCCGAAATTCCCAAACTGCCAAGAAGTACTCATTGTTAAACTGGCACCGATAAAAAATACTTCTACAATATACCCAACCTTAGGGCCCTCTCTGAGAGTGTTGAATCTAAAGCCATTCTAGAATTCTTAAAAGTAACAAAAATCTAACCCAAAATATAAAGGAAACTGAATAAACACCTGGTACAATAGAACACTTTTTTGCTGGTTGGACCTTGGTCAAATGCTGCCATTGGGTTGGTCATTCTGGTCTAAACTATTGCTCTGTCCACATTGTGTTTGACAGATCAAAGATCAAATTGTCATCAGCAATTGTGATGTTGGTCTGTTCCTGGCAAAGAAATTTAACAAAGAAAATCTTGCAGATAAAGAAAAGACAAGAGTTCTCCAGAGTTCTCTGAAAATTTATATACTGTTTTTTTACAATGAATTAGTTCTGGGTACAAAACATTAACTCGTCCCACTGTCTTTTTGTTGTGACACTATGTTCAACTTGGTTAAGTCTGGAACAAAGCTAGCGCCAGAGGTTCTCTCTGGAAGTAAGTCATATGGTATTCAGCAGAGTGGTCATCTGGAATCTCTCACTTGGTCATCTCAGTATTCTTTTTATATTGACTTCCATCCAAAACTAGCCTAGGGATTGATGTGGATATGGGGACTCGGTGGTTTCCCTATCTCCAACAAGGGCCTTTTGTTGTCTGGCTCTGGATAATTATACTTCCAAATTTGGAGAGGTCCCTTTTCCAATGGGTAGCGGTCACATGATACCACCCCCCAAAAAAAAACACCTTCCATCTTTTATTTGTGCCTCTCACCAACATTTCCCAATGGGCATAAGCAATTCAGTCTTCCTCAGTATTTCACCTGTGCCTGTCACCTTGGTTGTCCTTCAACCAATCTGGCTCTCAACTGTGTGGTGTGGCTTAATTTAATTTTGCTTCAGTGAAATTTCTCAGCCTGGCTTTGGTCAAAAATCAAAAATTTACCAGTTGCTTCCTTCAGTGACTACCTCCACCAATGCTGGCAGGGTCAATTACTCTAAGCGCTGTGGTATCTGGGTGTTTACACAAGAAAATTATATTCCTTTGATTTGTTTACAGAGCTCATCAAATTCCATATTTTTCTAAACTTTTTTTAAGTCAATGTTTCATTAATCAGCTGTCAGCTAAATATCACCATTTGGCTTTTATGGTAATATCTTGTAACAGAATCAGTTTTCTTCAGAATATCTCTGCCCCTAAAAAGAAATAGCTTTTCTTTTTTTCAGTCTGTCCATTGTTCTATTCTTTAACCCTTTTTGTCATGTTTTGAGCTATATTCCATTTGCCAGTGTCCCATCAAAATGCAACTAAAAACCAAATCATCTCTACGCCCTTATATAATAATGCTTTTATAAAAGAATTTGTCTGCAAAATAAACACAACTAAAAACTGCCTGATTTGGTGCAAAAAGAACCTTGGGGTTGGTGTACAAATAAAATAACCCGTCTAAATCAAATCATAATTAAAAAGTAACTGCTTACTAAGTTAAGTACTCACTCTTGTCTTAAAAAAAAATCACTGAAAAACCTTAAGAAATAATGGATTTTGTCATTTCCTCTTGAAAATTTTCTTAAATTTGTAACAAAAAAATAATATTTCATTTGATTCAAAAACTTAATTCTTTTCAGACAACTTGAAGCCATTGTTAGGATTGCAGAATCTCTTGCGGAGATGCGTTTGGCAGCATTTTCCACAGATGCAGATGTTGATGAAGCTCTGAGACTGTTTCAAGTGTCAACACTTGATGCTGCCATGTCAGGACATCTTTCTGGTAAGTCACTTTCCAAAAGCTTACATTTCCTGAACTCTTAAGGCAACCTCTTAAATGCAACCAAAAATTCAGAAATCTGTTGATTTTTGTTTTTTATTTTTTTTAATTTCTCATTAATTAATCTTTATTTTTATATGAACAACATTTTCAATGGCCAAATGTACATACATTTTTTTCTTTTCATTATCTGCAAAACTCTCTTCCTTTCCTCAATGTGGTGTCTTTTGTTTTTTTTCAATAAAAGCTGTGATGCACTACATAACTTCGGTTGTATTTAGATTATGTCAGTATTTGTACAGATTTTGAGGACTTCTGTTAAGAATCTTTCCCTTTTTTAATGGCCATTATTTTGATTAAGAATATTATTGAAAACAATGCTGCTCAAGGAAAGAAATTCCGTTACTGTTTTTAATGAATATCACTTATTCAGTGAGACACAATTTTGTGATTAATTTTCAGTAAAATTCTTAGTTTGTAGAATTTTTTTTTCTTATTCTACAAATAATGGTGGAAATATTTAAAAGTATTTAATTTTAAAAAATCTAATGGTTATAAAATTGGATCTCAAAGAAGCTGCTTTATTAGGAAATAAAATGCAGTTTTCATTTATTTGAGTAGGTTTCTTTTTGTCTTGCCTAACAATTTATCATTTGTTTTACCCCCATCCATGAATGTTCAAACCTTAGTAGGTAAATATTGGGGTGCCAAGACATTTGTTAGCCTAGGTTTACTATTTCTAATTTAGTAAATTTTATTCAGTTAATTTTTCCTTTTGGTGGGGAAATAAAACGTCTTCAATAATGATAGGCATTTGTTTTACAAGATTTTTAAGTTTCAATTGGTTTTGTATAAATGAAAAATACATTTTGTTTATGAATGCAAAACCTTTTTGTATTTTTATTTATTTATTTATTTTTTTTTATAAATATATAGGTGCTGAAGGCTTTACAACTGAAGCAGACCAAGAAATTATTTCCAGAATTGAAAAACAGTTGAAACGTCGCTTTGTGATTGGATCTCAAGTGTCAGAATATGCCATTGTACAAGATTTCTTAAGACAGGTAAAGAAAACTCTTCAGCATTATAATGGGGGCTTTAGTGAAATTTCTTGTATTAAACTTCAAAATATTTCATTTTAAATTTCATTCTTCAAAGTTGCTTGTGATCTAAACTTTGATCTAAGTTTGATATAAAAACCATATAAAAGATTATTTACCTCTTTGCTCAGATTAGTGTCCATTATATCTTAGTTATTTATCACATTTTGACCCTTATATATTCTGGACATTCTTAGCTGCCTCGTGGAGTTGGTAATCTGTGAATCTTGAACCAAACGTTCATTCGATGAACAAGTCAATCTCATTTGACTGCCCATTCCAAACTTCATAATTTAAGGTTTGATCTTTGTTTAACTCCTTCTAATTTGTGTGTATAAAAAAAAAAAAAAAAATTCAAACAATTACATTGATTTAATATTTATGTTTAGTCATAATTCTTTTGGCTCAGCTTGAAGATTAAGCAGTTTTGGATATTTTGTTTCAACTTTAAATAAAATCTCATTTTCCTGTTTCAATATGTCAACTGTTGGTATCATTAAGATACTTATAGATATACAAGTCAAGATTTAATATATTAATTCTAATAATTTTTATTTGTTATATTAATGCAAAATAATTTAAATTTTTTTTATAAGACATTAAACTCATGCAAGATTTTATAATTCCCTTATCTAAATAACAAAAGTCACTCTTGTTTCCTCTTTAAGTTGACAGTAAATCAAATGATAGATTTCATTACTAGTTTCTTAACTAATATAATTTTTCTTTTTGGTCATTTTATGTTAATGGAATGGGGGTGGGGACATGAAATTTGTTGTAATGTTTGTATTGTTTTTATTTCAGAATTATCCAGAACGTTCCATCTACAAAGTGCTTACATTAATGTTACGCCGTGGGGAATTGCAACACCGACTGCAAAGAAAAATGTTATATCGCATAAAATGAGGAAATGCCAGGAGCTGGACTTTTTTTTTTTTTTTTTTTTTTCATTAATATATAAAGAAAAATTTTAAAATTTTTGTTGATATTCATTCATATAAATTGCTAGTGAAGAAAATGTTACCATTAAAGGAAGGCATAAAACGTTGTATTCATCAGTAATAAAAAATGTAATATTTTATTATGGGTATGTCTTATTTCAACCCAAGCAAGGCAATAAACCCACTGAGACACAAGGAGTTACTGAGTGAAAAGAAAAAAAAAAAAGAAAACTTGAAGGAAAGGAATTAAGAAAATGACAGGTAATGACATTGCATTTAAATTCAGTCATAATGACTGGGAAATAAAAAGCCAGAAATGTTCACAAATAAGAAGTGCAAGAAAATAAACTATTACTATAGAACTTAGTTACATCTACCCATTTCAAGTGTATAATGATGACTTAGCTATCAGTCTGGTCAGTTAAGTGCTAAACATTAATATATGGTTGGGTGAATATGTCTTTCCATTAATGACTGTCTAGACAGAAGATTCTTACAGTAGGTTGCTATTTCTTTCTGCAATTGGTTGTCAACCAAGGCTCTAAGACCCAACCTGTCCTGCTATTCAATCCTTCTACATAGTTGAGGGGTGGGGGATTTAGAGATGGATTTATGCCCGTTTCTGAAGGGTATTTGTGCATAAGTGAGTAATTCACCTGCCTGGAACTTGATTATCCAATTTCTCCTTCCAAACTGTTACACCACATATCCCACCAATATAGTACTGCACTTAAATTCATAAAGTTGAGGTACTATAGAGGAAAGATCAGCAGAATGATTATCATGAAAAGATTAATGGTAAGAAAGTGAGTGAATATGAGATGTCAGGATAAATAACATTGCAAATTCTTTTTGTTTTTATCAAGAATCACTGAATGCATAGAAGCAGACAAAATGTCATGGCAATATTCAATACATAGACAAATGGTTGACACATAAAGGAAAAATTGCCCAGTATGATATGGTGATCTATCTTTCTAGCAGCAGACCAAACAATTGGTTCAATATTGTGCTAGTGGAAACTGTTAACCAGAGAAACCACCAGTGTGTCTCAATTTTTTATATTCAGATCATGGTGTTCTATATTAACAGGCCTCTGCATAATGCCGCTACCGTGATAGACTGGAGGCTGACTGACAATTAGATCGTTTTAGTTTCAGTTTGAGCGAACTGCTGCGTACTGTTGTTGGCTCAAAAAATTCAGAGGAATCTTTTAATTTTACCTTTGGTTGGAATATCATTTAACTTATTTATTTGAAGTAAGTATATTTGATTATTTTAGTTTGAGTCCATACATTATTTATATTTAAATTGTAAAAAGTAAACTTTGGTGCTTAAATTTACTTGCACAAAAAGATTTACTTAAGTTTTAAAAGCCTTAACATTTTTAAATTAAAGTTTAATACATTTTTGGCATTTTCCCTCTTAAAGTTTGTTAACATTTCTTGATTAAAGTTTAAAGAATTATTTATTGACAAAATGCAATTCTTTTTGAGTAATTTGTGTTATTTTAACAAATTTGAACAGAACTTACTTTAGTTTCTTCAAAGACGTAAAGAAAACTATTTTTATTATAAAATGAATTAAAATTTTTTTTTTTTTTTTTCATAAATTCAATGTCATTTCTTAATTTGATATTTATTTTTGATATCACTAAAAAAAACATTGTTAGTATGAGTGAAAACAACGTCAACGAAATTAAAGTTTAATTTTCTCAAGTTTTTAACCATGATAAAAAATTAGCATAAGTCAACATTTTTCTATTAAAAGTTTAAGTTTGAATAATAAATTTGAATAAAATTTTAATAGAGAAAGGTTCATTAACATTTCTCTATTAAAATTTATCCAACATTTCCATTAAAAGTAAAAACAAAACAAATGAACTTCTTCGTGCTTTTGTTTCCGAAGTTAAAGAATAAATGATTATTTTTACTACATTAGTTACCAATTGGTGAACTGTAAGTATTTTTTTTACTTACTAGAATTAAAGAAAAAAATAATAATAAATTTTTTACATGCAGTAATGTCAGTATTTTAATTATTTTTTTAATTTTTTTAGAAAGGTCTCCTTTTTTACGCCTTTTGACTACAAAATTTATTTTACAAGACAAGTACCATTTTATTTATAGTTATTTTAATATTTTTCTGATATTGTTAAAGGACAAAATGCATTATTTTTACTTTACTTTTGTTTTGCTTTAAGGTAAAAAAAAAAAAAGTTATATATATTCCTATTTATATAGTTTAAAGTGTATTAAAATAACCAAGCTAAAGAAAAGGCTACTTATGAATGTTTTTAAATTTAATATAAAGTTTTAAAGTAAACAACATTGCCCTTCAAATTTTGATACCATAAAAATTAATGGATTTTTTGGACGTATTTTTCCATTATCTGTATGGCCAGGTGTGCCAAGTATTCAAATACCAACAACCTCAGCTGTTCAAAGGAATATAAAAAGAACCTCCAGTACTGTTAGAAATCAAATTGCTGATGAACTTAATGTTTTTTTAGAATTAGATAAAATTATACAAATTTGAAAGAAAGTCTGCTTAACAACAAAAAAGACTTTATATGTCCAGTTGTAGCATTTTTGGATGAAAATATTTTAACTGTTCAATTATCAAAATCTATTGATGGTATTCCTACTCTTTATGTTGAAAATTTATAACAATTTGCGCTTTGAAACATTTCATTATGGAGTTAAGTGTTATATTAGCAGCCTGTCCAAAAATAAATACAGTTGATACTTGGTCAAAACTGGAAGAAATCATCCAATATTTAAATTCTATGGCTTTTGATCACAAGAAAAATATCCCGAGTCAACAATTTTTAGCAATGGCTCCCAAAATGGTTGGAATAAAATACAGCTCAGATATAGTTTTGCATTCTTTTGGGTACTATGCAAGATCACGGACATTGTATAATGAATTAAGATATGATTTTCAATTACCCTCATTAGCAACATTATGAAGGATGACGTCAAAAGTTTCAAAACTTAATGAAAAATCTTTTTTATCTATATTTAATACTCTTAATACCAGTCAAAAAGAGTGCATAATTCTCCATGATGAAGTATATATCAAAAAGATGTTGCTATATCATGGCAAACAACTTTGGTAAATCAGTTGACAATCCATCTGTACTTGCTCAAACAGTACTTGGTATAATGTTGATATGTCTCAATGGGGGTCCAAATTTTCTTACAAAATTGATTCCAATTTCAAAATTAACATCAGCCTTTTTATTTGAACAAATTGAGTTAACACTCCAAGCCATCACATCTGTACCAGCTGATGTAAAGGCTATTATATGTGATGGCAACTGCGTAAATCAAGCTTTTTTTTTTTTAAGTTATATCCTACACTTCCTGAAAAACCTTGGTTAACTGAAGATAATAAACATTTGCTTTTTGATTATGTTCATCTGTTGAAAAATATTCGCAATTTGTGACTGACAGAAAAAACAGAACTAATCTTTGATGATGATAGAGTAAGTCGAGTTGCAAAATGGGCACATCTTAAACAGTTATATCGTTTTGAATCTGAAAGACTAGTCAAACTTTCAGATTTAAATGAAATTTCCATTGCTCCAAAGCCAATAGAAAGACAACGGGTTTCTACTTGCCTCAGTGTTTTCTGAAAAAAACATAATGCACTTCTCACTCACTCTGAAATAAGTGCAGGTAAGAATGATACTGCCCTCTTCATAAACAAGGTTTTGACATGGTGGAAAATTTTAAATGTTAAATGCCTTCAAATTGATAAATTACATAATGATCCTCTACAAGCTGAAATCAAATCTCCAAATGACACCAGACTTGATTTTATCATTGAATTTGGTAATATGGCTGGCAGTCAAGGTAATCGTAAAAAACAATTATCCCAAAACACTGCTACTGCCATACATCATATTTGCAATGGAATTGTTAGTCTGTTGACACCTTTTAGCTACAAGTCATAAATATGTACTACTTGGGCAATTTTCAACTGATCCATTAGAAAAAGAATTTGGTAAACTTTGCCAAGGATCAGGTGGCACCTATTTTATAAATGTTCAACAATGTATTGAAAAGCTGCATATTAAGCAGACATCTTTACATTTAAATCAAAATGTAAATATTGATGAATTTGATGTTAATCCAAGTCACCAATGTACATCTTGTGATTATAAACTTTGTGAGGAAGGTTCAGAAATATTTGACAATCTGGAAAATTTAGACCCATCTCTTTCCAGTGAAATAAAAATGGCTCTTGTGTACATAGCTGGATATATTACAAGAAATGATAATCAACCCAGTGAATGTGAAACCCATTTTTATTATGAAAAGTATGGAAAATATACCAATTTAATTGACCATGGAAAACTAAAAGTTCCTTCTGACCACACTTGTCAATGGTTATTTTTTTGTTTCATCCTTTTCCATACAATAAAGGAAAAGGTTTGCTATAAATCATTAAGTAACATTTTTATGCTTATTTCTGAGTTTAATTTTTTCAACATGGAGAAAAAGCATGCTTCTATTTTTGCAAATAGTTTTGAAAAATTTTTGCAAACATGGCACACCTAGATCAGAAAAAGAACCAGCTCTAAAAGTTTTGAAACTTTTCTAGAATGATTTTGTTTTATTTGTCTATATTTCTGTGATGATTGATTGTTATATACACACTTTGGCTGATGTCTTCCAGCCTTCTTGGGTTCTGTTTGTTAAACCCAGTAACTGTAATGTAAATTTAAACCAAAGTCTTTATTCACTCACAGGGAATAGATTGAATAAAAGATTCAGTGACACCTGTAAATAATATAAATTTCTGATTCAATATATCTTTTACCAGAAATCATAATTACCACTTTGTTTTGTTTAATAATTATCAGTGTTCATAGCAAAAATACATATTTTCATTTATTTATCTTTCAACACATCCTATTATCCTCAGAATAACGTTTTTATTCACACCTAAGTATTT